GGTGGGGGGGGGTGGGGTGGGAATGGGAAGTCCTGCTGCAGCCCTCTGACTCTGGATGGGTGGAGGTGTGAGGGTACTGTGGGAGGCATTTTGCTCTTTCAGAGACGAGGATACAGCTCAGTGAGAGTGGGCACAGATTGGGTGGGGCAGCCCCTATGGGTGAGGGCCCTGGCAGCAGAACCTGCCAGGCAGGTGTGCCGGCCCAGACATGCATCAGGCGGCGGGCTGTGGCAGGAGCGCAGAGGCCAGGGGTGCCCTTCCCCTGGGAAAGAGACCAGGCATGGCTGGGGGGCAGGGGGTGGAGGCAGGTTGGGGTGGTAGTGGTGCCTGGGGTTGATGGGGCCTGAGCTGAACCCCTTCCTAATTCCTCCTCTGGGATACAGTGGTGACCAGTAGCACCTGAGCTAACATTTACTGAACTCTCACCTGTGTCTCGCAGCTCTGTTCCACTCCTTCCTCCTCAACAGCATCCCTCGATTGGGAACTGTCATTATCCATTTTACAAAAGAGGCCGCCAAGGCTGAGTGGGTGTCACTTGCCCAGAGTCTTAGATTACAAAGTAGCTGAGCCCAGCTCCACGCTCCAAGCTCTTAACCTTTACTCAGTGACTGGGCAGAGGGACAGACAGGGTCCCTGGCTTCCTGGAGCTGGGAGTGTAGGGCAGAGACCCACAGTATGCCAGATGAATAAGTAAACATTCAAGGTAATTTCAGATGGTGCCGACTGCCGTGTGAGCTTGGGGAGGAGGGGGACGCAGCAGGGAAGGCCTCTCTGTGGAGGTGACCGGCTGGAAGGGCTGGAAGAAAGATGTTCCAGGCAGGCTGATCCCCAAGTGCCAAGGTCTTGAAGTGTGTGAGGAACTGGGGGGAAGTCAGTGGGGCTGGAAGGGAGTATGACAGAGGAATAGCAGAGATGTAAGGAGGAAAGACTGTGCAAGGCCTTGTGGGTTTTGAAGGCCTTGTAGTTAGGGTTTGGACTTTAACTCTGAGCCACATATGGAGCCATGGGAGGTTCTAGAGCAGGAGAGGGCTGTGATCTTGTGGGATCTTGTGTACGAAGTGGCATGAGTTGGGGGTGCTGGGCCTGAGACCCGTGGCAGGAAGAGCCGCCCTCCACCCTGCGGGGGCCGTGGGAGGTGAGATTGCCGCCTGGGAGGTGAGAAGCAGCCACTTTCCCACCCTGGGGTGTGGCTTCCCCTTTGCAGAATGGGGTCATTTATGGATCACATGATGTGTGCCAGGCATGGCCCCGCCATGTCTGGGGAATCTTCAGGGCTCATCCCAGCGGGCTTGGTCGGGGGAGGCTGTGGAGCTCTGGCACCCAAGCCTTAAGGCGCCCCCCCCTTCACGGGCCCCACTGGCTGCACTGTCCCTGTGTGTGACCTGTCGGAGCAGGCAGGAGTGGTTGTATTTGGAGCCACAGGGATTCCCTAAGAGGATACGCGGGGATGCGACCCGGCCTGGGTGTCCCACGTGGTGCCTCCCCTGGGGGCACCCTTCCGATCCATCCCCAACCTCTGGCTCATGGTCCCTGGGACGCCCTCACCCCACCCGTGACCCGCAAAGCCTGAAGCAGCCGGTGCAAAGGGCACAGTCCTGTTGAAGGTGGTGGCAGCCAGGCCCAGCCCCGCTTCCTGGCTGTGGCCTCGGGTAGGAGGGAGCTTCCCAGCCTGGAGGCTCCTGGGAACAGGGGGTGTGGGCTGTGGGGCCAGCTGGGACTGGCCCGTCGGAGGAGCGGAGGCCTGGGAGAGACGTGGGAGAGGCACAAACAGAGAAAGGCGGAGAAGCGACTGAGAGAGACACACACACAGACGGGGAGAAACAGAAACGGAGAGACCCTGAGAGAACAGAAGAGAAACACACAGAGAGAAAGTGAGGGAGACAGTCATTCATTCACTCACTCACTCAGCGGCTGCTTACTGGGCACAGGCTGTGTCCAGGCAGTGCCCATGACTGAACGCAAATTCCTACCCATGTGGGGCTGACTGGTGGGGACACAGTCCAGAAACATGACAACCGAGTAAATCACGTTGTCGGGAGTGATAAGGATGAGAGAGACGGGGTGGGGGAAGCGGGAGAACCAGGGGGACTTACGAGCCAGATTCTCCTTATCTGGGGAGGAAAAGGTTCCCACCAGAATCTTGACCGCGCCTGCCCCTCCCCCACTCGCCCCAGACCGGGGGTGGGAGCGGGGAAATGGGGTGGGGCCTGAGCCCGGAGGCCGACGGGACCTAGCTGCTGCGGGGAGGGGATTGAGGCTACCGCTGCCGAAGACCCCTCCTAACCCGGGTTGCCAGGGTCCCTCCGCCGGCGGGACGTTCTTGGGGTGCAGTCCAGGAGGTTCAGTTGGAAGGTAGGTGGAATATAGGGAGGGACCAGTGCCCAGAGGACAGAGAGGACCGCTTTACTTCGGTGGAGGGTGGGTGGGCGGGGGGAGAGGCTGAAGAACCCTCCCCTTCTCTTGTCTCCGGGTCCTCCCACCGCGACGGAGCGTCCCTGGGAGAGAAGCCCAGGCCCGGAGCGGGGAGCTGGGGGCTCGCCTGTGCCAGTCGCCACCAGGGCGCGTTCCGGTGCCGCGGCGGGTGGCACAGGCTGGCAGACACGGGCTGGGAGCCCGGGCCCCAAGGGGAGGGGGCAACTGCTTGCGACCGCCGGCGCTCGGCCTTGCGGGCCCGCCCCCTCGCCTGTCAGCTCCAGCCCCGCCCCCCGAACAGAGGCAGCTCACTCAGCTCCAGGACGCTCGACTGCTGAGCGCACAACACCTGGGCACAGGGGTGAGTGTACAGCACTGGGTCCTTTCGCGCGCGGGGCTCGGCCTGGTCCAGAGGGTGTTGCCCTTGTCACTACCCTTGTTCCCTTGCTTGGGTTCCTCGGCCTTTCCCGAAGGCCTCTCGGGAGAGGAAAACCGGCGACTTCGGGACTGGATGAGTGACCCGGGATGGGGGTGTGTGTGGGGCGCCCGGAATCCCCTGGCCTCTCTCCCTCCCAGCCACGCCACTGCAAGTTTCACTACCTCACTCCTGCCTCCAGGCAAGACGAGACGAGGCGGGCGGTGCACAGGGTGTGAGCCTCTGTGCATTGTTCCCAGCAGAGCGAATGTAACCTGTATCTGCGTTTATCTGATGCCCCCTTCACCCTGGCGTGGCTGAGTCTGTGACTCCCTGTGAGTCCGTATTTGCACCTGGTTGCCTGTGTGCAGCTGAAGCTGTCTGGGGTGCATTTGTTTCTGCCATGTCCAACTAAGTCCGTTCCCCTCCCTAGGCCTTGGTTTTCTCATCTGTTAAGTGGGACTCCCGTGATTGTGTAACTGTTTCTGCGTGGATGTGTTTGTGTGGGAGCATGAAAACCTTTGTGACTGCTTCTATGCAGGGTACTTTTCTTGAGCCTCAGCTTCCTCGTCTGTAAATTGGGGACGAGGGGATTATAGCGTGCAGTCACAGGTGGGAGGTATTATTATACTTTAATGACATATATACCCTTCTGCAGGAGTCTGTGAAATGTGTATCCTGTCTGCTGCCCTCAGGCTCTGCCGCTGCGAAATGCGTGGATAGGCTCAGCTTTCTCCCTGGGGTTTTGTGGTGGATGAAGGGGGGTTCGCAGGAAAAAGCCCTGTGGGCAGCGAGGTGTGAAGATTGTGGGGCTCTGGGTTCCAGGCTGGGTGTGGGTGGAGTTTGTGAAATTGTGGCCTGTGAGACTAGGCATAAGATCCCGTCTGCGTGTGGCAGAATTTGTATATCTTTGCCTGTGTCTCTCTGTCCATGTGTGAATGTGCATTCGTGTTTCCCTGAAGGGGTGTAACTGCGCATTTTGCCCTAGTCTGTGACTATCTGTGCACATGTCCTTGTCGGTGTGTCACTGTATTTGTGTGTCCCTTTCTGTGTGTGGCTATTTCTGTCTGTTTATGATTAATATGCCTCTGGACATCCCTGCTTGTGTGTGAATTATTAGTGTACCTTTCCTGTGGGACTTGTGTTATCCTTTCCCCTTGTGATGTTATTTGTGTGTCTTTGTGTTGGCCTGTCTCCATGGACACTCCCCTGCCATCCCAAACTCCCTCTGGGCCCCGGAGTGCGTGTGGGGTAGGGAGTAGGGGATTAGGGCCCCCTTCGCAGGTGAGGACCCGCCCGTGCCCGCCTCTGCAGGCCGCAGGGATGGTGCGCGCCAGGCCTGACATTGCACCCAACCTCTCTGCAGTCTTGGGGCGGGCAGCCCATGGAGCCGGGGCTGCTGCGGCCAGCGCCAGTGAGCGAGGTCATCGTCCTGCATTACAACTACACCGGGAAGCTCCGCGGTGCGCGCTACCAGCCCGGCGCGGGGCTGCGCGCCGACGCCGTCGTGTGCCTGGCCGTGTGCGCGCTCATCGTACTCGAGAACTTGGCCGTGCTGATCGTGCTCGGACGCCACCCGCGCTTCCATGCGCCCATGTTCCTGCTCCTGGGTAGCCTCACGCTGTCCGACCTGCTGGCGGGCGCCGCCTATGCAGCCAACATCCTGTTGTCGGGGCCTCTCACGCTGCGCCTGTCGCCCGCGCTCTGGTTCGCTCGTGAGGGTGGCGTCTTCGTGGCGCTCGCCGCGTCCGTGCTGAGCCTCTTGGCCATCGCGCTCGAGCGCCTCCTCACCATGGAGCGCCGGGGACCCGCTCCCGCAGCCCGTCGGGGGCGCACGCTGGCGCTGGCGGCCGCGGCCTGGGGCGTGTCGCTGCTCCTCGGGCTACTGCCCGCGCTCGGCTGGAATTGTCTCGGCCGTCTGGACGCCTGCTCCACGGTCCTGCCGCTCTACGCCAAGGCCTACGTGCTCTTCTGCGTGCTCGCCTTTGTTGGCATCCTGGCTGCCATCTGCGCACTCTACGCGCGGATCTACTGCCAAGTGCGCTCCAAAGCGCGGCGCCTGGGGGCCCACCCCGGGCCTGGCGAGGGCGCCTCGACCCGCGCATGCCGCACGCCGCGCTCGTTGGCGCTGTTGCGCACGCTCAGCGTGGTGCTCCTGGCCTTCGTGGCTTGTTGGGGACCACTCTTCCTGCTGCTCTTGCTGGACGTGGCGTGCCCGGCGCGCGCCTGCCCTGTGCTCCTGCAGGCGGACCCCTTCCTGGGCCTGGCCATGGCCAACTCGCTTCTGAACCCCATCATCTACACGTTCACCAACCGCGACATGCGCCAAGCGCTCCTGTGCCTCCTTCTGGTTCGCTCGTGAGGGTGGCGTCTTCGTGGCGCTCGCCGCGTCCGTGCTGAGCCTCTTGGCCATCGCGCTCGAGCGCCTCCTCACCATGGAGCGCCGGGGACCCGCTCCCGCAGCCCGTCGGGGGCGCACGCTGGCGCTGGCGGCCGCGGCCTGGGGCGTGTCGCTGCTCCTCGGGCTACTGCCCGCGCTCGGCTGGAATTGTCTCGGCCGTCTGGACGCCTGCTCCACGGTCCTGCCGCTCTACGCCAAGGCCTACGTGCTCTTCTGCGTGCTCGCCTTTGTTGGCATCCTGGCTGCCATCTGCGCACTCTACGCGCGGATCTACTGCCAAGTGCGCTCCAAAGCGCGGCGCCTGGGGGCCCACCCCGGGCCTGGCGAGGGCGCCTCGACCCGCGCATGCCGCACGCCGCGCTCGTTGGCGCTGTTGCGCACGCTCAGCGTGGTGCTCCTGGCCTTCGTGGCTTGTTGGGGACCACTCTTCCTGCTGCTCTTGCTGGACGTGGCGTGCCCGGCGCGCGCCTGCCCTGTGCTCCTGCAGGCGGACCCCTTCCTGGGCCTGGCCATGGCCAACTCGCTTCTGAACCCCATCATCTACACGTTCACCAACCGCGACATGCGCCAAGCGCTCCTGTGCCTCCTCTGCTGCGGCCGCCGCTGGTGCAGCCTAGGCCCCGGTGCCTCCCAGCCGTCGGGGAGCCCCGCTGGGGCTTCGGGCGGTCTGCAGCGCTGGCTGCCTCCTGGCCTGGATGGCAGCTCCAGCCACTCCGAGCGCTCGTCACCCCAGCGGGACGGGCTGGACACCAGCGGCTCGACAGGCAGCCCTGGCACGCTCACAGCCGCCTGGACCCTGGTACCCCCTCCAGCCGCAGACTGACGCCCTTTGGTCCGCCACTGGCCTCCCTAAGAGCTCTTTCGCAGACTTTCTTGCTAAATAAAAGAATTTATAGGAAAAGCAGCTGAAGATGGTGGAGGCAGAAAAGACGCAGAATGTATTTTATTGACTCTAAACCCCACGGCAATGAACAAAACAGACAAAAATCCCTTCCCTTGTGGGATTGACGTTCTGGTGGCGGATGTAGACAATAACGGAATGAAGAGGTATGGAGATAATTCCAGTGACAATACAGTGATGTGATGGTGGTCAGGGGATGCCTCTCTGCAGAGGTGGTAACATGTGACGTGAGATGGATTGTCCCAGGAACTTCTGAAGGAAGATCATTTCAGGGTGGGGCTGCAAAGGCCCTGAGCCTAGAATATGCCTGTGTGTTCTCTGAAAAGCATATGTCACATATGCCACATATGTCAATGTGGCTGGAGCGGAGGATGGAGAGGGAGAGTGCGAGGAAACAAAGGCAGGGGAATAATGGGACAGATGGGTCAGGGACTTATGAGCCCAGGGGAGGACTTTCTTTTGCTCTGAGTGAAGTGGGTTCATGGAGCGTTCTAGGCAGAGGAGGGACTTAATCTGGCTCACCAGATGCCTCTGGTCTCTGTGGAGGGTGAAGCTAGGAGAACAAGGTGATGGTGACTGCACTGGCCTAGGGGAGTGATGATAAGGAATCAGACCATGTGGATTCTCCATGGATTTGGGAGGTATTGGACAGAATTCCGGAGGAAATTGGGTGTGGGGGAGAAAGGAGTCAAGGACAGCTCTTCACTCTAGAGGAGAGACCAAAGACAGGGCACCCTAAAATTTGACTCTAGGAGACTCAGCCAATTCCTATCTGAAACAAGATTTCTTTGAATGTGGTGTCAGATCCTTCATAAAGAATAAAACTACAATCAAATAATAAAAGTGATTACAGTTTATTGTGCCTGGATAGTCACCCCATAGTGCTAGGCCCAGGACAGGCCTTTTTCTCACCCTCACTGCAACCTTTCAAGGTAGGTTTCCTCACCCCCATTTGACAGATGAGGAAACTCCAAGAACAAAGTACCTTGTCCCAGTGTCTGAGCCAGGATACAAGACCAGGTGGTCAGGCTCCAGGGTCCGAAGAGGCGCAGGCTTGATGTCTGGCCCCTTTGGCGGGGTCTGTTAAGGCCAAGCAGACACTCCCTCCTTCAAGAGTCTGCATTTTCGGCCAGGGGCGATCCTAGGGCCCCGTTTGTGCCCATAAAAGGCTCCAGGAGAGGAGGCCGCGTCTCCCAGCTGTCCCTGGCCCCCCAGGTGTCCCCAGGCGTATTCCTAACCTCTGTGCGGAGGGGCTGGCGGGAGAGGGGCGGGGTGGGTGTGGAGAAGGGATTGGGGGCTTCGGGCTCAGATTGCGGCACGCCACCTGCCGGGAAACATCGGAACTGCAGGCAGCCGTAAAGATCGCGGTGTGTATTGGGGCGTGGGGGGTGGTGGTGGCGCTGACCCCTGCAGACCGTACGCACGGGGAAACAACCTACTTCCTGGAACACAAACACACTCAAAACTGGGGTCGCATCCCAGGGCACTTCGAGAACTGGACCCAATCTTCCACCTGGCCTGGTTCCCCTATCCCCAGGCTCCTGTTATCTTCCGGGGCAACCTGAGACACCCCACCCCATTGTTCAGTTGTGTGATGGTGTGACGGCAGACGAGTTATTCACTTGTTCACATCTTACAAAATTCAAAAAGCACCAGTTCCCCCTCCTGGATGCATACACTATTGGGAAACTTCCAGAGCTATTCTGTGGATAAATGAGCTGAAATGTAAATACACCTCTCTCGTTTTACACTTTAGCACTGCTCTCCACCTTGCTTTGATCACTTAATAGTATATCTTGGAAATTGTTGCACATTTAGATTTTGTACTGTGTTAATTGGCTCTGGCTGCCATAACAAATACCATAGTCTAGGTGGCTTAAACAGGCAAAATTTATTTCTCACAGTTCTGGAGGCTGGAAGTCCAAGATCAAGGTGTCAGCATGGTTGGGTTCTGGTGAGAGCTCTCTTCCTGGCTTGTAGACAGCTGCCTTCTGCTGTGTCCTCATATGGTGGAGAAAGAGAGCAAGCTCTCTGGTGTCTCCTCTGATAAGGGCACTCATGCCATCACGAGGGCCCCACCCTCAAGTCCTCATCTAAACCTAATTACCTTCCTAAATCCCCATCTCCAAATACCATCACCTTGGGGGTTAGGCCTTCAAAATATGATGATGGGGGGGCACAATTCAGTCCATAGTACTTTTTTTTTCCACATTAAAAAAAATCGAAGTAAACGTGTCTTGCTTCTTTTCACTGGCTGCATGGTATTTCACAGCATAGACATACCACCACTTATTATACCAGGGCCCTAGGGAGGGACACGTGTTGAGCCCAACACCTTGCCTTTATACAGAGTGTGGCAATAAACATGTGTACATACATCCTCCTGCACCTGTGCCAGTGTACCTTGGATAAATTTCTACACGTGGCACTGCTGGGTCACAGGGCTTGTAGATGTTGTTTTGAGATACCGGAGGTTTCTTTCGGCCTGTGGAGGAGGGTGCGGGTTTCCTCACAGTCTCAGTCACTCCCTGTACAGTATTTGCCGGCTATGCTATTGCGCCCCCTCTGGAGCTACCCAGAACTGCAGCTTCACGCAACTGGAATGGGAGGAGGGGGGAGGAACCCCACTCCAGCCTCGGACACCGGATTAATCCCAGACCCTGAGCAGGGAGGCTGAATCTTCCAGGTTCACCCCGGAAGCGGGTGGAATCCTTTCTTAGACCAACATCTGTTCAGCCTAGTGTTTTATATAGATGGACTCTTTTTAAAAAACTTAAATACATTTACTTAAAAACTAACTTTATATCACAAACAGCATACATGGCAAATCAGTATCACTTGCCATGAAAAATAACAATCCATATTTATTGGGCCCTAGCGTTCTCCTTTAGTTCTCCCGATAACCTAGCAGGTATTAACATTTTACAGGGAGGAAACTGAAGCATGGAGAGGTTAAATTATGGGCCCACCAGCACAGAGCTAGAGAGTGGCAAAGCAGTTGTTCGAATGCCAGCCCGCGAGCTCCACGCGCCTCCAGACTGGAGATAAAAAAGACAATGCAAATCCAAGTAGGTAGACAATTCTGGCTGCATCCTGCGGCCGCCTTAATGTGAGGCCTGCACTGTGTGGAGTTAAAGGGAGAACAGGTCGTGGAGAGCAGACCTGCGCTGACACGACGAAACCTGGCGGATGGAAGGGGTTGCGAAGGAGGGACGGGCCGGGTGGGCTTGGCCATGCGCCCTCGCCCGATGCCCCATTCCTCGCTCATGGGCGCCGGGCACCTGCGGGAAGGGCGGGGAATCGCGACTCCTTCCCCGCTGCGCCCTCTCCCTGCCTCTTTCCCGGGCGTCCCGAGGCTGCCCCCCATTCGACGGCCGCAATCCCGCAGGCCCCGCCGCCCCAAAGCCGAGGCCCCCCAGACGGCGGAAGCGCCCGCGGGACCCTGACAGTGAAGTTAGGCTGGAGCCTCGCCCGACCGGGCCACGGCCCCTCGGGCTTCCCGGAAGCTCAGTGCGCGGGTGGCACCACCGTACCCGGCGCCACCGCCGCGCCCCTGGCATCCCCACCCCGCCTCGAGAGCAGCGGAGGCTACGCAGAGACGCAGGTGAGAGCGCCGGCGGCGGCAGCGGCGGGGAGGGGTGTCCACTGATCCCTGGTGCGCGGAAGCGCTGGGTCTCGAGCCCGGGGCTCATTCTCCGCGGCTCCGACCACGCGGCTGGGTGCGCTGCGGTCCTTGGCCCCGCCGCAATGACCGGCGCTGTGGTCGCCGCGGTGGGGCTGCGCAACAGGGCGACAGCTAGCGTGGGAGGGTGAGGGGGAAGCGGCCCTGCCGCGGGAGGCCTGGGGCCGCGGGGACTTTTATTCTGACACGGCCGGCGGCCGGCTCTGCTTAGTCATGGTGACCTGCGCGCGTTCCGCGCCTCCCCCCTGCGCACTGCGATGGAGGCGCCCGGGCCTGGGCGACGGAGGCGGAGCCCGAGCGCGGCCATGGCGGGGTGAGTGGGGCGGCCAGCACCCGGGCTGAGGGCGCCACGGGCCGTGAGCGCCCTGCGGCCGTGCCCGGGGGCCGGAGAAGCGGGAGATGCGGGACCGGTCTCGGGGTTCCCGCGGCTCCGTGGAGGGCCAGGAGGGCGCGGCTCGAGTCCTATCCTTTTGTTGGACGGCGCGACTCGCGGGGTGGCCCGGGAACGACGCAAGCCGAGCGAGAGGCCCAGGGAGCGCCGCTCGGACGGAGGCCCGGGGACCCCGGGGCGTTGGGGGGCTTGGTTTGCGCCCTGGGGCTGGCAGTGGAGAGGCCGCGGCGGGGTCACTTCCTCCCTTCTCCAGGCCTTGGCGGCTCAGGCGGGACATGCGCACTCCCCCACTTACCGCTTCTTGGGGGGAAGTGCCCGGTGCCCAGGGGGCACCGTTGACCCATTGGCCAAAGACCGAGAGGCAGGTCTGGGTCTCGGCTGGGGAGAGGCGGCCAAGCGGCATCCAGGGCCCGGTGGAGGAGGGTGCTCTGGCAGGGACAGTGGAGTGGGCAGTCAGCCAGCCACAGCTTACTGACCTCTGCGGGGTGCCAGGCCCCAGGCAGGATGCAGGGGAGGCACATGAGAGGGTGGGCATAACCCGGACCTACACAGGTCTACCTGCCCTCTGAAGCCCGGGGCTCAGGGCCAGAGGGACAGGCCATCCTTCAACAAGCAAGCAAAGGAGCTCCTTTCCATTCTTGACAAGTGCTGTGATGGAAATAAAACAGGGAGGAGGTGACTCTGAGTCGAGCCCAGAGAAAGATAAGATGAAGAACCCAGGGAGCCTCTTGCAGACCACCACCCCCCGCCCCCGCCACTCCCCACAGGACTTTTCAAAACATAACTCATGCCCTGGCCTTCCAGACTCCGCAGGGTTCACTGAAAGCCTCCCTTCACTAGTCAGCCTCT